GAAATAAGTATTCGTAAAAAACACATTATTTGTGCCTTTCCGAATACCGTATTCGGGTTCGGCTCCACCCCTAGTTTGAGGTTTGGGCGTAGACAAGAAGTAGATTCAACCCCTAGTGGAAGCAGAACCAGTAGAACAATGGCACAGTCCCACTGTTGATGTGGTATGGACATGTCACCTTCTCCTTGCTAAAGACCTTTGCCAGATGGTGATTGTTAGGAGGAATCAATAGATTCCCAGAGGACACTGAGCTCTCAATAATTGTAGATTGCACTGGTAAGGTAACAGTCCATTTCTTAAAGTGTGACATAATTGTGGCATATTAACCACGGGGAGGCCTAACACCTCATCAGAACTGTGAGAGTCTATGACTGTGTTGTGTTCATTGTGAAGTAAATCCACCTGTAGTGTGACGGAGTCACTGGTCTGGGTGATGCAACTTGATGCTAAGCTGACTGTTGATTCATTTTATTGGTAAGGTGGTAGTTTGATTAGAGAAATGCAGAAAGCACTGCAATAGAAAACACTGAGTCAGATCTAATGAATTAAGGCAACATTAAGATGTTATTTACACCTACCTTCCTCATAATTTCTGAGTGGCAGACTTAGGGTTAGTTAGTGAATGTATCTTTCTATAATCACTATTATTGTACTGTGATAGATGACTTTAAAGACACGGTTTCCTAGAAAATGCTTTCTAATTTCCTCAAAAACACTTGGGGCCATGAAAACATAATAATTTTGTTATCCCCATCCCATATCAACAGCAATGCAATGCATATAAAAACTAAATAAAGGATTTATTTGATAGCAAATGTAGGAATTATTAGCTCAGGTAAATTTTAATATTTACACCAATATGTTTGAAATTAATTAAAGTTTAATTAATTAGTATTTAATGACGATTATTGCCTAATCGTTATGCCAAATGGTTGGTTCCTCCAAACTCAATTGCGATATCCCCGTGAGTCTGTTAATGTGAGACTTAAATGGGATTCACTACAGTAATTACCAGTATCGCTTAGTAACCTGGGTTAGACGGCTTGTCCACCAAGCTGTGTCACCAGGTAATGTAAACGATTGTTAGCGAAGCTCCCCTCACGGCCGATGAGAGAGATTCTCGCGATATTTCAGGCGAGTTTGAGGTGTCAGAGCGTTGTAGCCAGATTGCACAGAGGCAGGGACTATTGTGAGCACTCAATGAATGGAGGCTGAAGTTATGTAAAAGACATGCATTTATTCCTAGCTAACACTATACCTAACATAAGACAGACATTACACCTAACACAAATTCCGAAATGACGGAATAGAAACAAACAATGTAATTATGGAAATGCTGTGACCGGATTTAAATGAGTAACCTTAAAAGGGAAATACTGTTCTGCAAAGCAAGCACAGTTTGTGGAAACACGACCCTAAAGTCATATGGCAGGTTAACAGAACAGCTTAGGTTGTTAGAATAAGTGGAAGTTGGTTTACTTGGTTGCAGAGCGGGGGGGGGTCTTGGCAGTTGGTTGCAGAGGCTGATGAGCTGATGGGATGATGGCACTCAGGAAGGCGCGGCGTGGGAGCAGTAGAGTGGAGCCCCTTGGATTCTCTCTCCTTGTGAAGCTTTGTCTTGGTTGCAGTTCTCTGTCCAGCTGGGCCTTCACCAGAGGGCTTCTTGTGGGCTTCTCTTCTCCAAGGCTGATGTTCTCTGCCTCTCTTCGGGCTGATGGTCTTTCTGCTCTTCTCGGGCTGATGGTTTTTCTGCTCCCCTTTGTTCTAAGGTGCCAGGTTTTTATGGTCTAAAGTTCATGAATATGGATGACCAGGAATTCGACTCCTGGCCCAATGGCTGGCCATCCATTTGGCGGGCTTTCAGAGGGGAGTCTGTATCAGTCCTTTTGGGATTTATGACCAGACTGATTCCCCCTTTACTGATGATTTTCATTAAGTTGGTATAACTTTTGATACATCCACTTTTATGGTAATCACTGACCAGATTTGGAATCAGGAGTGATTATCCATCAGTTTGACACCAAACATGCCATACCAGCTTCACAGGTTCACACCTCATACTATCTGTATTAAATGATTAACAATTACTTATATTATATATGTGACTGACTCACATCAGTATATGATACAGGTGTTTTGGGTCGCACCTCAACAGATGTTACACTTTGTACAGACATTACATCAAATATTCACATTAAAAACAGCACATCTTATCCTTAGATAG